GGAAGGAAATGAGCAGAAATTGTGGCAGTAAAGCGTGGATTTAAAGAAAACTAAGGATTTAAGAAGAAAAAAAGTTCAGGATGACAAGGAACACTATAATCCCCACAAAATACGACCTTTTTGAAATCTGTAAGTTCTCTGTCAGCTGAGGTCGGGCTGTTTTCTGGTTAGCCCACGTAAATTTAGTCTGCAGTACCATGGGCGCCCCCTGTGCCCATGGGTCGGACAGCTATAAGCTAGTAATACCCTATCCAGTTATTATTATACATTATAGATGGTGGAGTCCGATGGTAGGCACCACAGGGGTCTTAAAAGATAGGTGTGTTTTTGGTCTTGCACTCATTCTTTCCTCTAATTAGAATATATATGTATATATATATATATATATAAAATATATATATATATATATATATAGGTACTATATATACATATAATTATATGCCTATAGTTTTCCTAACTTTAAAAATGTACATGAAAAGGCCCATTTTAAAGCCCCACACCACGGACATCATTATCAGTTGGGACTTGGCAGAGGTGGGTATCCTATGGAGGAAGCTGGCCAGAGCTGCTGAAACTCACTCCACCACTCCTCCCTCCCTCACCCCTCGGTGATGCTCCTTCCATGAATAACTGTTATTATTTCCAGATTCCACATGGTTCTCACAAAACGCACATCAGCTGAGGATGAGAGGCTCAAGAACTCACAGCAGTCAATCTGACAGCTTTCAGCTTTCGAGATCCTCGAGAGCATCTGCGCAGTGTATAGTTTAGTGTAACTAAATAATTTCATAATCATGCCATTTAAAGTGGCCTTTGTAAACACATTTATTGGACCTCAGTCCTGGGGCCTGGTCTTGGACTGGGCCTGGATATCCAGTCAAGGACTGAGACTGATCCTAGACAGGTCTAGAGACAGGTTCCAGGACCTGTCTTGAACTGGTCATTTGTCTGGTCTAGGACTGGTTCTCCTAGTATCTCAGCTCCATATGGGTTTTTCCAACAGAGAAGAACCGGTGCCTGTTTATATACACCTGTTTGACTTTACACAGTTGTAGTTACAGGACAAGGCAGTTATAAACCTGGTAGTATAAAGTTAGTTAACAGAGTTAACCTAAAAAAACTAAAACTTAAGTTAAAACAGTTTTGGAAAATCTCTAGAACCACTCGATTGGGGTGTGTGAATGGGAAGCATGTAGTCAAAAAACACGGTTCTGGGAGTTCTACGCCACGCCCACTTTTTTTGAATACACACTGTGATGATGGTGGAGGAAGCAAATTTTGAGCAAAAATTGCGTCTTATTATCCTCTCTTTACAGCAGGCCCGAGTACTGGCTGGCCTGGGGAACCCCCCGAACCAGTTTTCCATATAAAGCTGGAGATTTATTAGCTTTTTAAACTGACCAGATCACATGAGAAGTAAAAACACTGATGTTGGTTTCTGTGCGCACTGGTTTTCTCCTCAGGGATGTCTAATTGAGACCACTGCTCCTGATCTTTGGTACCACTCACGATTGTGTGTCCTCCTCTGACTCTAACTTGATCATCAAATATGCTGATGACACCACCATCATCGGTCTCATCAGTGACAATGATGAATCCTCTTACAGAGCAGAGATCGAACATGTTTTTCAGTGGAGGTAAAGTAAACAATCTCCAGCTGAACACTGCAAAAAAAACATGTGAACTTGTCTTTGACTTCAGTCGTAGCAGTTCTCACACTCCTGTAGTTATGACAACTCCCAGGTGCAGATCGTAGAGGAGTGCAAGTTCCTGGGTTTAACTCTGTCTAACCTGAAATGGGTTAAAAATACTAACCGGGTTGTTAAGAAAGCACGTCAGCGGCTCTTCTTTTTGCGGAAACTTAGAGAATTTACCACTAACTCTAAGATTCTGCTTAACTTTTATCGCTGCACCATTGAGAGTTTACTTGTTGGTTCTGTGTCTGTGTGGTTTGGAAACATCACAGATAAAGAAAAGAGAGCTTTAAACAAGGTGCTCCGCTCTGCAGAGAGGACCGTGGGCTGTGAGCTTCCTGTTCTGGAGGTTCTTTATAAATCCAGACTTTTAAACAAAGCTCTTAAAATCATCAATGACTCTTCTGGCCACCCTGGGAAAGCCATGTTCCAGCTTCTTCCCTCTGGCAGAAGATATCGGTCGCTGAGATGCAAGACATCGCGCTATGCTAACAGCTTCTTTCCACAGGCTGTTAGGTGCCTAAACAGAGCACTTTAATTCCTGCTTTTACCCCTTGTATCGTTTTGTTGATCGGTGCCACAGTGTCAGCTGTTTTTTTTATTATTTTATATTCAGTGTATGTGTATTTATATTACATTGTATCGTGCTTTTTATTCTGTCGGTGCACACAGAGTACCTTTTTTTGCAAATGTATTCCAATGTAGTTTTTATACTGCACATGGCTAATAAAATGAATCTGAATCTGGACTCCCCCAGATGAGCTAGAGAAAGAGTGTGGAGAGGGAGGTCTGGCCATCTCAGCTCAGACTGCTGCACCCGCGACCCAGCAACAGATAAAGCGAAAGAAAAGGGATGGATGGAAACCCTTGAACTTTAAAAGGAAATAGTTGGTCGACCAAGAAGCCATAGACCAATGCATTATGGAGGATTTTTTTAGTTTGTTTAGAACATTATAATTTGGCTAAACAACACACCACCCTTTTCCATTGTTCTCCCGGGTCGACACAGGTCTAAAAACACGGCTCTGCAGTGTGGAAACAGCTCTAATGTTTGATCCAGACGTGGTTTATTTTTGGTTCAGTCTCATGTTGTCCTGACGTCACCTCCGTCTCGTCCTCATGAATAATGCGCTTTTTGCAAGAACGCTTCAAATCTGGAGTTAACAGCTGCTCGTAACACTTCTACAGGTCCTAATGAAGGCCAGGCAGGGCAAGTTTATTTGTATAGCACATTTCATAACATATAGTACTAATGAGAAGGCAATGAGTCATGTTTATGGTTGAAAGTTTAGCATAGAACTAAAGCACACAAGTCAAAAGTATGAATATGATATTGTACTTTGAACTTTATTTTAACCTTGATTTGAACATTTAAAACAACTATCTCCTTCCATCTCCTGCCCACGTTTTAAACACTATTCAAGAATTTGGGATTGAAATCTCATGTCTAAAATACATTCTAGTACATTTTTACTTAGTATGGTTTGTATATGCCATTTGAACTGACTTATGCTGAAGTGGAAATGGCTCTAATATTGTTTTATGAGCAAAGCTTTATAATTCGAGAGTATTGGTTGGCTCACAATATCCCTCTTCCATGCAAATTAAATGTTTGCAAGATAAAGATACTTCACTTAGTTTGTAATAAACCCCATATAATAAGCTACATTCATTTTTTGCTTTCAAATCAGTTTCACTACTTTTCATTTGGACCTGGCTTGGACCTGGCTTGGACCTGGCTTGGACCTGGCTTGGACCTGGCTTGGACCTGGCTTGGACCTGGCTTGGACCTGGCTTGGACCTGGCTTGGACCTGCTTTGGACTTGCTTTAAACCATTCATCAGAGAAGCCACCATAATGATTCACATTTGACAGAGCGGAAGTTGGCTGGATATTTACTATCTCACCAGATACAATAGTGCCATATTCGTAAGGACCAGACAGACCAGAGACCAACCAGAGACAGAGACCAGGAAGAGAGACCAGAGAAATAGATACTAGAGAGAAAGAGACAAGACAGACACCTGAGAGAAAGAGACCAGTGAGACTAGAGAGAATGAGACAAGAGAGAGACCAGAGCGAAAAACCAGTGAGAGGCCAGCGAGACAGACCAGAGAGACACCAGAGAGCCAGATAAGAGAGAAAGACACCAGAGAGAAAGAGACAAGAGAAAGACCAGAGAGAGAGACCAGAGAGAGAGACAGGGAGAGATCACAGAGAGAGACCTGAGATAGACAGGGAGAGAGCGATGGCCTCGTTAGAGAATTACATCCCCCAGCTTTAACCACTTGTGTTAAACCCTCCAAAACACCAACGCTGTCTTCTTCTATGATTGACCTGCGGTGAAACTCCGGTCTCTTGTCTGCTCTGATTCTCAGTCAACGCAGAATGTGGAGCGGCCTGGTTAAAACTGTGGCACGGTTTGATCCAATTGGTCCCATTAAGTTTTCATGTCTCCTTATGCATTATGTAACCGCTGATTTCATTTAAAGATTATTCATAAGTTGGATTTGGAAAAAGCAGGAAGTGTGACAAAACTGATGAGCAGGAATCGGGACGTGGGTTTTTTATGTTTCAGAAAGAATTATTTAGTGTTTCTCAAGCGGCAGGTTATGGGGAAAACTTTCTACAACGACACATGGTTCGGAGTTGGCAGCTGCTTTGTCTAAATCGTGGGTAAATCGCTGTTTTAATTATGGATTTTTACATGAATGTGGGTAATGAGATATCTGTCACAGGGAATAAAGGGAAAGGATATGTATTTATATAGCACATTACATATATTATCAAAACTCTATGTAGAACAAAGACTCAGTTAAGGGTCTAAGGCACCAAACAACCATGTTACAAGATTCTTATAATGTGCTGAGGGCCAGAAAGAGCCCTGTGAGTCACTTTTTGACTCAATGGGCTGAGAGCTGATTGACTGAGCAAGCATAGTCCTCGCTTTTTCACGTTTCTGTCTGAAAAAGCTGATCTAAAGATGTGACAGAGGCCAGAAATACATGAAACGAGGGACTAGTTTCACCAAGATAAAGCTACAGATCTCATTGTGTTCAATAAGATAAACCGGTCTCTCACTCCGGACTCTCTCCCTCACTCCGGTCTTTCTCTTCTGTTCTTGTAGTTTGAAAGTTACACACCAGCCTAAAATTGGGGAAATCCACCATGAAAGTTACTAGAAACTTGATCAAGATAAAAGCTACAAATATCTATTTTTTGTTACATTAGATAAACTCTTTCATCCTCTCAGACTGTACTGATCATTTTCATTCAGACCAAAAGCTGTTGTTAAAATCAAGTGTATCAGACCTGTTTTCCGGCTCGGAGTACCAGCAGCTGTATGGTTCCTCTGGCAGTCCCCTCTGCAGACATGGACCGCCTCAGCGTTTCCATGGCAGCATGGTTGGATCGTCCCACTAAATATTCACCATTGACTGCGATCATCTGGTCGTTCACACACAACCTGCCGTCCTGAAGGAAAAACAACAGAAATATATCATGTAGTGGAGGCCTGTGTTTCCATAGCACTGGGGGAACCTGGTCCAGTCTAGTCCAGTTTGAGTCGAGTCTGGACCAGAGTCCAGTTTGGTCCAGTGTGAGTAGATGCAGGTGAAGCAGCACAGAGTGGGAGAGCTCAGTGAACAGAGGTCTGTGACGAGTGGCACCGAGTGAGTGTGTGATCACACAGAGCAATACATGAATGAATGGGAGAAAATAAATGCAAAAAAATAAAAATAGAATATCCATCCATCCATCCATTTTCTTCCGCTTGCCGGGTCGCGGGGGCAGCAGTCTAAGCAGAGACGCCCAGACTTCCCTATCCACACACACTTCCTCCAGCTCGTCCGGGGGGAACCCAAGGCGTTCCCAGACCAGCGTGTCCTGGGTCTTCCCCGGGGCCTCCTCCCGGTGGGACGTGCCCGGAACACCTCCCCAGGGAGGCGTCCAAGAGGCATCCGGAAGAGATGCCCAAGCCACCTCAACTGGTTCCTCTCGACGTGGAGAAGCAGCGGCTCTACTCAGAGCTCCTCCCGTGTGACCGAGCTTCTCACCCTATCTCTAAGGGAGCGCCCAGCCACTCTACTTGAGGAAGGACTGCTCCACCCACCTGGAGAGGGCAAAACACCTTTTTCCGGTCGAGCGCCATGGCCTCGAATTTGGAGGCGCTGATTCTCATCCCAGCCGCTTCATGCTTGGCTGCAAACCGCCCCAGTGCATGCTGCAGGTCCTTGTTCGTTGGGGCCAACAGGACAACATCGTCCGCAAAAAGCAGCGATGAAATCCTGAGGTCCTCGAACCAACCAGACCCCCTCCGGCCCCTGGCTGCGCCTAGAAATTATGGCCATAAAAACAGTGAACAAAACCGGTGACAAAGGGCAGCCTTGGCGGAGGCCAACATGCACCGGGAACAGGTCTGACTTACTGCCGGCAATGCGCACGCAGCTCTGGCTCTGGTCATACAGGGACCGAACGCCCCTCAGCAGAGGACCCCGTACTCCCGGAGAACCCCCCAAAGGACACCCCGAGGAACACGGTCGAACGCCTTCTCCAAATCCACAAAGCACATGTGGACAGGTTGAGAAAACTCCCATGAACCCTCGAGTATCAATTGAAAACTTGAGCTCATTAATTCAGCTTGTGTATGAATTCAGGCCGTAAAAGTGCCGAGTAGAGACTTGGCGTGATGCCCGCTCTCACTCACAGAACAATGAGCGAACAGGCTGCGTCCTCTAGCCTCTACAGTGCTACTAAACACAGCAACATGTAAGCAGAACTGGCAATAACTCCTCTTGCTGTAACTGAATACACAGCAAAACAGCCCAAACGACACAACAGTGAGGAAGAGAAGCGGGAACTAAAGCAAAAAAATTATCAGAGAAGAAATCAAGCCCGGGTGAACATAGCTAGCTTACATCGTAACCTCTGGAGAGATTTACTGTCTATGGGAGAGACCGCCTCGGACTATCTATGCTCGGACTACATTCGGACGCGGAACTAGCAGTAATCTTTCAGTTAAATATTTTGTTAGCAGTGCGTTGCTTTTGTACCATTTCATCAGTGATTGTAGTACAGTTTACAAGAAGTTGCGCTCATGCTAATGTTTGCATATAGATCGCAAATAAAACTAGAGAGCTCCATGGGATGAGAGCGTAGGGGAAATGAGAGACCCGGGAGCGAGTTGATGGGCGGTGCTAAACATTCAAACCTTGCAGAAACGGGTATAGCTCCTTTAATAACGTCCATTCAGTATAACCGATTTATACTAATGTTCATAAAAGGTCAAAATTAGGTGTGCATGTGATAAATACAAAATAATAATAATAACAATTCATAGTAATACACCACAATGTCAACTTTCTTTTGTGCTGAAACAGTATCTCTCCAAGGGACAGGACCGGAGCCCTCTGCTCTAATTATTGTAATTCTCATTTATGCCGACTTAATGTAGCTCTAAATCACACGTGAAAGAGGAGCTCGCAAAGACGGAGACGAGCAAGACAAAGGAAGAAAGAAAAGTAGAAAATTAGAATATAAATGCGAGAAGAGAGGAGAATGTTGTTAGGGCAGTGATGAACGCCGGGATGTGGCTAATGGAAAGGGCTGGACACGTACTAAATCAAGTCTAAGTGTTTTTGTGGAGGGAAGGGGGAGGAGAACAGGGACGAGCTGTTTTACTGCGTATTAGAATCTGTTCCATTATAAGATTCAGATTCAGTTTATTTGCCATTTGCAGTGAATGGAAATAAAACCCGCATGACTGCTTGTTCTCAAGCCTCAGTCCTGGATCTACATATTTTGTCCTGGATCTACAGCCTCAGTCCTGGATCTACAGCCTCAGTCCTGGATCTATAGCCTCAGTCCTGGATCTACAGCTTTTGTCCTGGATCTACAGCCTCAGTCCTGGATCTACAACCTCAGACCTGGATCCACAACCTCAGTCCTGGATCTACAACCTCAGTCCTGGATCTACAACCTCAGTCCTGGATCTACAACCTCAGTCCTGGATCTACAACCTCAGTCCTGGATCTACAACCTCAGTCCTGGATCTGCAACCTAAGTCCTGGATCTACAACCTCAGTCCTGGATCTACAACCTCAGTCCTGGATCTGCAACCTCAGTCCTGGATCTACAACCTCAGTCCTGGATCTACAGCCTCAGTCCTGGATCTACAGCCTGTCTGTCTATGGGAGAAGATCCCTCTCTCAAAATGGGCCTCCTCGATGTTTTTCAATTTTTCCCTCTAGGTTTTTTGAGTCGTACGTCTCTGATGCAGGAGGGTCTAAGGCAGGGCCGGAGTGGGACAACATTTCAGGCCGGGAGCTTTTCATCCATTCCAACATAATAGTGTAGCCTACAGTATGAAAAAAATTACAATTTATTTAATTATTATCATTATTCATTATTTATGTAAATGTATTTCCATATTATTACTGTTATCATTATTATTATTATTATTATTATTATTATTATTATTATTACTGTTATTATCATTATTGATAATGTGTATATGCTGAACAGCTTACACAGCATTATTTTTCCAATCTTTTTACCTTTTACTGCTATTGTAACAGCTGGAATTTCCCCAAATGTGGGACAAATAAAGGACTAATATTAAAATCAAAACAAGCATTCATACACTAAATGGAACACACACTCACTCACTCTCACACACACACATTTGTATCATGACTTTCTTCTCTTTTTTTTCTATCTCCACTATGATTATTATTATTATATCATTATGATTATTTTTTATTTTGATGCTGTTAATTTCATGACATCTTAAATGGACCCCAGAAAGAGTAGCTGCTACCAGGTGTAGCAGCTAATGGGGATCTTGGTAAAATAATAAATAATTCAGTACAGTCAATCACAAAGCAATTATTTTAGGTTATGTGTTTTTATTTTGTTATTTGGTGTTGAGCTATATTTTTTTTAAATCCTCAATGCATTTTAAAATGTCAATGAAATGAGAATAACCACCCTGTGCTTCTTTGCTTTACCTACTATAACTGCAATTAGCATTCCTACTAACAATTGTATCATTAGCCATTAGTGAACACCTGCTGCAAATCTCACTTTCATCAACCAATTTGGAACATTTTACAGGTAGTCTGATTGTTTCTAGATACCTGAAGCCCATTTGCCTTCACTCGATTGTGGGTGTCCCTCTGTAGCAGCAGCCGCCGCACTGGTCTCACCTTCAAACCACCACACAAACACATACGCCAAACTTGAGCAATAGAACCGCGTATCAAAGCAGCCGTCACGTAATAGAGAGAGCATAATCGGGATACCTTTGTGTGTTAATTTTGCTCCTGTGCATATAGTAGCCTACCTGACAACTCGCTTCTTGAAAACATATCCGTGAGTTTATAATACTTTGCCGCATCCTCGTCCAGCGCCTTCTTTTTTCTCATTTTCTCCCTTTCTGCGCCACCTTTCCTCTTTTTTTTTGACTCCATGATAGCATAGGCTACTGGGTGTAAATTACCTTGTTACTATTTCTTCTGTGTGGGGATTCAGCTAAAAATGTTTAACGTTTAAACGTTAGAACTGTTACAAAAGTAACCGCAGCAGCGCGAGCGCTACACTAAAAGGACGTTCTGTAAGCTACTGTTCAAACGGAAAATGAAGGTTGCTTGCGGTGAACTCTAGCGCCAGGTTGATAGGGAACAAGGTTCTAAATTTGTGTTTTTGTCATTGTATTTTGATGTTCTTTTAATAGTTTTAAGATTGACTGTCAAAACTTTTTTTTTCTTTTTTTTTTTATATTGACTGTTTATATAATCTCGGACGTTTAAGGATTGTTGTACGTTGCTTAGCAACGTAACGTTTATGGAGTTTAGTGAGAATAAAGACACACACACACACACACACACAATGAACTAAGTGTTCATTAGTGTATAACTATAACAAGCTAATCAATTATTGTTAAAAAAGAAGTAAGGTAAAATCACATCGTTACAGCTCATATAAAAGGAAAAATAAAAACGTGTATGAACCATCAGTTGGAGAGACCACTCATTTCAACCGGGGAAGCTACACTGGGTGCACTGCTAGGCTGGCCTGGCTGTGTAGCCGACGTGTGACGTCACATTTGTTTAATTTTGCTCTGGCCCAATGACAGTAAAGCTTTGGCCTGGGCCTTGCTCATTGGACCAGGCCACCAGGCAGGGTAGGAGTTTGCAAAGACCGTGAGGATGAAATTAAATTAAAAGAAACAAATAAATAAATAAAATAAAAGACCGTGATGATAGGGCAGGCCCAGGCCACTTTGACACGCAGGCCACCGGGAGATCTCCCGATGCTCCCGATGGCCAGTCCGGGCCAGGTCTAAGGACAGTGATGATCCAGGACATTTCTGGACAGTGGTCATTCCGCTCCCTATGGACCAATGGCTCCTATGTGTTTGTTATCATTTCATTTTCTGTGTTGGAACTGTTTGTTTCTTTGATTATTTCAAATGTTGTGATGTCCTATAAACGCAAGCTACCGAACTGTTAAGCGGTCATCTTGTTTCTCTCTCCTCCCGAACTGCCGCCACTTTCCCTCTCTCCACTTCTCACTTCCATATCTCCTAAATCCTTTCCTTGCTTCCCTCTCGTCCTGCTTGACCCGCCTTGACCCTGAGGAACTCTTCCAGTCAGCAAAACGCTGCCTTATCTGCACCACTTCAACTCAGAGGAACAAACACTCATCGCTCCACGTTCTCTGCTGCCTGGCTCACATCCGTCGGCGGCATGTGGCCGTGTGTTTGGGAGATAGCGCTGGTCCTGGATCAGAATGAGATAAAGAACGGCTCCCTGTGGAGACTTCCCAACTGGTGACAGCAGGGAGTTTGACGTCTGCTGCAACTGATGCTGCTGTGTGACAAGCAGAACTGAAGAAAGACCCGTTTTTGTGATCGGCCAAAACATTACATCCACTTTCGGTAGGAACAGTGGTTATAAAAGTCTTGCTGTTTATAGATAGATCCCTGTAGGAGAAATTCAGGTGTCCAGCAGCAGAAATACATCCATACAAACACATAAGTAATCATTCTAAAAGTTGCTAACTCACTAAGTGATAGGGCTGGGCGGTATAAACGGTATAAGCGGTATGCGGTATAAATTTGGCCCACGGTAGAGATTTTTGTTATACCGGCATATTGCGATAGGTCATTATGTCATCAAATTGCGCAGGCTCTGACGCCAGCAGAAAGCACCAAAACAAACCGGCATTCAGCAGCATTAGCCTAGCACATTAGCCTAGCAGACACCACTGGAAACAACAGCACGGCTTTCACACCGTGTTTCTGTCTCTGTATTGGTCACAGCGGCCCCAGCGGAGGTAAATACACACACAGCAATCACAGTTTACATTGTCTACCTTTCGGCCAATGAGTGTCAAAGGGGCGTAGGCTCGAAGCGCCATCGTGAGCCAAAATAGATCCATGCTTGTGCCGTGTCCGCATCATCTCAGAAGTTTTGTAAAGTTAGCGTCCGATTCAGACTTCCGCGGTCAATAGATCACGAAAGCTACTTTGTTAAACAAAATTAATTGTGCCAAAATGAGCATTTACATCAGTTGTTCAAATCAAATGCGCTGTTTTAATGCAGATAAATCCATTGAATCATCCAGTTCACAGCAAGCGCTTAGGGAGCGTCAACAAATGGCAAGACTAGCTTTGTAAACGAACAATAGCTTTTACTGAAGCCATGCATACGCACTAAACTCTGACACTATAAATAATGACCATGTCTAACTGCTACAGATATTATATAATATATTTTATATTTTTATATTATTTAAAATTGCTTTCACAGTTAATGGTCTTTACTGTAACATACATAAATAATGTATGTTACAGCATTTGTCTCTCACCTGATTTTCAAACTCAAAAAATATATATCAGATTCTAATGTATAGATAAGTAACAATCTTGACTATTTTATGCAAGAACCTGCTAAACCTATATTGAAATTCACACACCAAATTATACCGTGATGTATACCGTCTACCGTCTGTGACCCAAATCATACCGCGATATGAATTTTAGGCCATATCGCCCACCCCTACTAAGTGACTAACAAAAGTGCACAGATCTGTACAGTCTTGTAGCCCAAGGAACAAAGGATCTCTTAACTCATTGCCTGCCAGCCTATTTCAGAACAGGTACTCTCATATTGCCAGCAGTTTCTGATGATTTTTATTGATTTTTCAAGACCCACAGAATATTGTGTACTATGACGATCTGAAATCCGATTCCGAAAGAATGGATTGTCTACTTTCATCCGAAAAAAATAATTTTATTTCAAGCTTGTTTCGTTCCACTGTAATCCCCGGTTGAGTAGAGGGAAGTTTGACTGAAATCACCAGTCTCAGACAAAAAGCTGAGAAAAAGAGGTGCAACAAGTGCATCCTGTGTTCAAAACAACCAGAGGCAGCGCTGGTGCCACCTGCTGGCTCCATAAAATATGCTCTAAGCTAATCCCCATTCATATTATATATAATAGACCTATGGGAACATGAAAATAGCGAAAAACGTATTTGACGTATTAACACGTAAATGGCACAGAACCATACTATTTGAAACCTGTTGCTACAACTATCTTTTTTTTTTTACATATTAATCAATGTGTCCAAACAGCGTCAACATGAATATGCTGGAACTAGTACAATAGCTAAATTGCATCCATTGTCCTAACGTAGGTAGAAACATACAAATACACAGTTATGTAAAAGTACAAACAATAAGTCGACAAGCACATAAAGCCTATGACTTTACACTAAAGCAAAAACAATTGCACACAGGCAGATTACACCCTTAGTTCTTGGAGGACTGACAAGACGAGAACCTCATTCACACTAAGTAAAAACTGTTGCATCTTCACACTGAGAGACAAGGGATGGTGTGTTCAATCATACAAACTATATTTACGCTGCTTTACAATAAGTTAAATATTTGCCTATTTGACACTCAACCATCCAACAGACCTACCACCCTTGTGGCGCGAAGTCATGATCCTGAGTTAACCCAAAATATTCAAAAGTGGTTAGCCTGGTGTAAGATGGACAGAGGAGCAGAAGCAAAGAATCAATGATAAAAGAAATACCAGACTGTAGTAGAAGAAAGTCTGACAGCATCTCCGTCGATTTGCCCTCAACACAATCATTGTACAGTCTTTTTATCGCGTCTGTTTGTGTCTCCCTGAATAGAACTGTCTCAATAGGAACTGCAGTTTTACCAATTAACCAATGGAAACATGTCACCATAAGTAGAATTCTGTAGTCGGACATATAAACAAGTTGGCATCTCCAGTGGTCAGAATGTCGTCTTGCATTCTTGGCCTAAGTTTGAACAAGTGTTGACATAGGACAATTCATTGTAGACCTCAAAAGGTTTTTGCAACCTTTTTACCGAGGCGTGTTCATTGTGATTGTCGTTACCTTCACTTCCATTTGGACATTAATATGAACAAATATTAGCACCATTCTCGCAGACCGAAACCTGTTTGTACCTTGTAAGCGGCTCCTCCGTGGATGATGGACTTGATGAAGATGCCCAAGTCCTCTCCGGTCTCCCTGGACTTGTTCCCCTTCAGACTGACCCCGAGTCCAGCTGATCCGGACTCGTTCAGTGGAATCTCGAACATCAGCTGCTCCCTGCCGTCCTCCATCACCACACTGCTCGCCTCCTCTCCCTTCTGGAAACACAACACATATATGGAATTCAAAGACAGAGATTCAAAGAATTTCAAAGATTATTGACCTGATCCAGGACCAGACCAACGCTGACCTTTATTTTTTTTTAAGTAAAGGTAACCGGGTATTTGAGCCTTTTCTCAAACTCGTTATACTGTGACTAAGCTGTGAACTGCCTAAAACAACAAAAGTATTGCCTCATTTGTTTTATTTTTACAACTCAAAGTAGACTGACAGTTTGGATTCAGAGCTACCACTTCTAACACTGCATTGGACTATTTTTCTCATACAGCATTTTTTCACATTTCTTAAAGCTGGGGTACAGCCCAGAGGTGGCGCTATTCTGGGAAAGGGTTCCCCCACGGTCTTTCTTTTGAATGATTTTACTGCACTGGGGCTTAACAGACCTACCCAAAGGATCTAATTGGCTGGACCTCCGGCTGCGGAAAAATGGTTGCCACCAGGTTGAAGCCTCCCTACTCGCTATCCCGCCGCCAGTGGTTTATGATATTTATCGACATTGCGTATCTAAAACTTTCTACGTCTTGTATAAATGGCGCTAAAGAAAGCACAACTGCAATGTGGGTTAGTTTGATGGATAAACTTAAGTCATTTTCCTTCTGAAAAGGGCACTCACCCTGGAGTAGTACAGGTTTTCATGTAGACTTCTGTATTATTATTTTTTTTTTTCTTGTGCCAAATGGACCTAAGTGTACGCTCGGGCGTGTCTATATTTTCGGGTCTTGCTTATTATTATTGGTACTGATGATGATGGTAACAAAAATTGTAATAATACTATTATTATTATTTTTATATATGTTTATTGTTAATCATTTTTATTATTACAATTATAATTTAATGTAGGTATTAGAGGCGAAGTGCAGTGATGTGATGCCGGGAGCAATGTGGTGTCTGGTGGTATTGACTGTAATGATGGCATTTTAACAGCCCAGTTACGATTACTTTTGGTAAAGATTCAGCTGCTATCTCCCTCTTAAAGGGCTTTGTAACCATAGACTTGAAATTCTGAATAAGTATACCCAAGTCTTCCTCTGTCAAACATAATGAGTTTGTACGTAAGTGTATGTATTTGTGTGTGAATGGGTACTTACAGATGTATGTGTATACAAAATGCAAAGAAAATGCATCCTCACATGCTGTTTTTAATGCACCTCACCCAGTTTTTAATGCACAACATAACATTCCGATCTCAGAAGGAAAGACTTGGTTACATATAAATTATAGTCCCTTTGGCAACTTTGCCCTGGTTTAACTTTAGTCATGGTAGCCACCACCATTGTTGTCTCCATTTGCGTATTCTCTCAACGGACACGTAAAATCATGATCAAACACACAGACATATAACCAACTTAAAGAGCATGTGCACACACCACACGTTCCCTTTTGTCTCCTGTCAAACGTCCTTTTCTACCTGCACCTTATGTGTCTTTGTTCCTTTTTGTATGTCATTATGTTTTCATACGTTTGTCTCTTTTTTCTGTATTGCTGAATAAAATGTTAATAAAAAAATAAAAATAATAAAAATAAAAAGCTGGGGTACTGTCATAGCCCTAGTTCCTCGCTCTCAAAAAACTTTGCTTCTATCGTTTGTTGAATGTATCTCTGACCACTATCACAACTTTTTCACTTTTTTGTCTGAAAAAGCAAATCTAAAGAGTAGACAGTGCTCTAACGTGTTCAACAATATTTTTTTCTGTTGGACAAAGTATATGATATTTAATGGGAGAAAAGTGAAGTATCCCAGCCTTAAATGCCTAAGTAAATATTCTTTAAGATCCAGTTTAAGAGCCAAAAGACAAACTATGTAGAATGCATGATTTAGTTGTTTAAAAAGGTAAAACATAGCTCTATTCACAACATCCAAATACTGTATATAAGGAATAGTGTTGCCTTAATGCAGAAGAAGCCAATAAGAACAAACTCAAAGAGGCTAATTGAGCGAGAATGTGGAGCCAAACGCATGCTAATTTTGTCTGTAGCATCGGTCGAGCCAATCAGAAGCAGCTCCAATCTGTCCCTGCTCACACTACTCGCTACTGAAGCCAAATTTGGCGACAGAACGCTCCTGATTGTTCAGATATTATAGCTTATATCTGAATTTAAAACACAATATCACATTATTATGGACCAGTTTACTTTGTGTCTAAAATATAGATTAATAATAATATACACACCAGGATCCCAAAGAGCTCTAAACCTGGAATTCTGTTACCAAAATGGTGAGTGTCACACAAACAGTTACTGAGCTAAAGGAGGATACTTTTATATGTAAATCAATAAGAGCCAGAGAGGCTTGGAGCCAAACTTTGTCTTTGAGTACTTCCCTTCATTGAGCTAGCGGGTTTGCATCGTCCATCTGTATAAATTCTTAGGTTACATCACAGTTTGAGGTCTGTTTTCAACGAGAAACAATGTTGTAATTTGGTTAAAATGTATTGATCTAAAGACCAGGAATAATCCATCCAGTTTCCCCATGTTTTTGGGGGGTATTTTTGTCTCCGGAGCAAAAATAAAACGCAATAGTCTCTCAGAGCAGCTTTCTCGACATCACATTCCAAACCAGCCTTTGTATTTGAAACCTTTTTTGATCATAGAGGTATCAGAAGTAATGCACTGGCTTGTAATGTTGTCTGTACATTCAAAGATAGAATGAAAAAGCACGGGGAGAATAAGTGGCAGGTGGGAAGGAAAGGTTTTTTTTTCTCTATTTGGAGATGAAAGCCGTGGAGAGAAGTGCTGCAGCCATTTTGAAACCCAACATAATCATATATTCAAAGGCGTCCTGGGATATTCAACCAGTCTATAGAGTCGACCCAGCCTCCATCTGTGCAAAACATCTTTCCTATCATGAAATCGGGCTGAAAACGCTTCTATTTCTTTACATTGAGTGAGCCAGAAAGCCTACTCTTTTGTCAGGACTTCGAAATGTTGCCGAAATGGTAGAAATATGGCAGAAAAACTGGACTCATTCAGCTTTTAAGAAGGAGTGAACCAGGGTTTGAACAAAGAAATAGCTAAAAACCTGGATATACAGATCAGAAACCTAAATCTCAACATATATGCCAATTATTTTATTTACGGTTTGGAAAACAATGTGTTGATTGAAGCTATTTTGAGTGGATGGGGGCTCATCCAATCCATACTTTCTATAACTGTCCATTTCCAATTACACGTCCAGTTTTTGGGGGATCTAGCTTTGTGTAAACTGCTAGTACTACTTCTGCTGCTGCTGCTGCTACTACTGATCCATAAATATGACTAGTTTGGAAACCTCAAGTCTACATCACACTAATAATAAATAGAGATTCTAATCACGGTGGAGTGGTTAAGTACCGCTGCTGTCACTCAACCTTGATTCTAACTCGGCGTTTCCCTTTTTCAGGACAAGAGGAAAACGTGTGATAAAAGCAGAGATAGACAGCCGCCAGTCAACTCTGCATCTTCAAGGGAAATGTATAAAGAATATTCATAAGTCCATAGAGGGCGAGGAACCGGGGCCCTCTTCAGAGACGTGTGGTTGCATTGGCTTACATCAGAAAGCAGCAGGGGTTTGTACATAGTGACAAGAGCAAAAGGACCAAGATGCATCCAGGGACTGAACCAGGACTGGAAAGAGACCAGGGACTGTGGCAGAGACTGGAGAGAGAGCCCAGGGACTGAGGCAGAGACTGGAGAGACAGGCCAGAGACTGAACCGGGACTGGAGAGAGACCAGGGACTGAGCCAGAGACTGGAGAGACAGGCCAGGGACTGAACCGGGAATAGAGAGAGACCAGGGACTGAGGCAGAGACTGGAGAGAGACCAGGGACTGAGGCAGAGACTGGAGAGACAGGCCAGGGACTGAACTGGAACTGGAGAGAGACCAGGGACTGAGGCAGAGACTGGAGAGAGACCAGGGACTGAAGCAGAGACTGGAGAGAGATCAGGGACTAAAGCAGAGATTGAAGAGAGACCAGGGATTTAAGCAGAGACTGGAGGGAGACCAGAGACTGAACCAGGACTGGAGCGAGACCAGGGACTGAAGCAGGGACTGAAGCAGGGACTGGAGAGAGACCAGAAACAGAGACCAGGACAAAAGAAAGAACCAAGTCTGAACTGATCTTTTAGAAAGCATAAGAAAGAACCCTGTGAGTAACTACTTGATTTTTTGAGCTGAGGGGTGTCCTCTCGTTTTCACATTTCTGATCTGAAAAAGATGATCTAAAGATGTGACAGTGGCCAAAAATACAGACAAACTAGTGATAGAAGCAAACTTATTCAGAGCCAGGAACGACATGGATTTTAGTTTAAAGACAGCCCAGTCTGGACCAGGATTAAAAATACCACTTCTACCACTGAACAAATGTAACATAATTTAAACAGACTAAGCTCAGATTAATCCAAATCTAGACCAGGTCTCAGTGGTGGTCCCATCTCTGCTTCTCCCCTGGGGCTCCCTGGTCCCGTGAGGAGGCCTGAACCCTGACTCTGCTTTTCTTTCCTCAATAATGGCTCTTTAACAAGCTTTTAGCCTGAATAGAACGCCCTCTGCACCAAGCTCTAACACAAAAAGCTGATTTTTCATTTCGCTCCGAGGGGAACAGGGAAGGGGCGTCCACTGTGAGACATAAGGCCTTTTGTCAAACTGGATTTTAAAAAGGAGAGGCCTCAAACAGAGGATTAGCAGCACGTGCTACAAGCGATTAAGATGGAAATGGAAAACTGGAAGAGGTATGCCTTCTAAAGCAGAGACTAGGGCAGAGATTAAAGCAGAGACTTAAGCGCAGAGACTAAAACAGACTAAAGCAGACACTGGAGCAGAGACGGAAGCAGAGACTGGAGCAGAGACTGGCACAAAGACTGGAGCAGAGACGGAAGCAGAGACTGAAGCAGAGACTGGAGTAGAAACTACAGCAGAGACTAAAACAGAGACTGAAGAAGATTGAGAAAGCTTAACACCCCTGTTTTGAGACATACCATCAATTGGCACATGAGATACTTGTATTTTCACTTGTTTTGTTGTGTTTTTATGCACAAATGTACATGTAAATTACTCCATGGGTAGATCACTTTAGTTTTATTTATCTCATCATTTCTTTTGTGTACATTTTGATCCCTCATCAAAAACAGGCAAGGAGGAAAAAGTGAAATATCCCATGTGCAAGTTCAAAGAAAAACATTTCACTTTAATGTGCGAGCTATCTCTGTTTAGAGAATTGTCAACAGTTGTATTCCTCAAGCGTACTGCCAGAACATTTGAATGACTTCGTCAAGAAGGGTGGGAAAACTTCATTTTGTACGACGCTAAAATAGATGACCTTTCAAAAACACTTGATAAATCCATTGTGTTTCAAAACATAGACGTCTTCTTTTTAATACAAAAGTTTGCGCGACCTGAAAAGTCTACTGTAACATTAATTTGTGTCACAGAGACATCAGGAAGAGGCAATATTTTTCTTAGGACGAGGCACAAAGAGTGATTTCTATGACCAGTGACAGAAATACTTTCTTACCGTTCGATGTGGACGTTTGACGTAGGAGTCGAAACATCCTACAATACTGTTTGTTTAGCGCGACAGCCTGACACACAAGCTGGCGGGCCCTCCAGAGCATTGTGACGGTACTCTGAGAACTGTTAAACCATGTATCGAACACGGACAGCCTTCATCACCCTGTCAGATAGCGGTCCCAGATTAAAAAAGTCACCTCTACAGATGCAACCATGTGGACAGTGTGGCGGAATGAGCTATCTATTCATGCTATGCACAGAGTTTTTTATTATGCCCATTGCGTTATCTGTCCAACCAATTCCACTTTAATTACGATAGCCCCATTTTATAAACACACAGCTTTTCAAATTGCTGCACAATTAAACATAAATAAAAATATTAAAAAATATCATAGTAACAAATCTTATAGGAAAAGACCACCTCTGAATACGTACACACCAATAACACTCAATAACTAAGAACAAAAGGGACATAAAAATCACACAGTTTTGAAAGCCAGAGGCATAAAACAGGGGACTTAAGGGGAGCTTAAAAACACTTCAGTTTGAATTTGGGTTTTTATCCAACAATTAGAGAAGGCCCTATCCGGGGTTTTAAGTTGGTCTTAGGGCTTCGCCGAGCTGGAGCTGGTCCTCGCCACCTCAGCCTCACAGTTGCTGGCACACAGCCACAATCTCCTGATTTCAAGGGAGGCAACATAAATTAAATCTTTAAATAATGTTATGCAAATAGTGGCATAGGGAATATAACCAGTGTAGGTGGAGTAGTGAGTCATAAGGTATGCCTTTATTGGATGAAACCAATCCTCCTTTAGGGATAACGCACACTTCATCCCTTTCTTTATCAATCCAATATGCTGTGTATGACTCCAAACTCTATGTAATAATGAAGTCACCTGTTTCCTTGTTAACACTATTCGTGCAAATCACTTCCAAAGTCAATAAAAGATCATAAAGATGTATCAGGAAGGCATGGATCCAGCCAGCCTCAACAGCGCGCTTAAAGCGCATTTGCATGCTTCTTCCTCACAGCATTGGATATTCCTTCTAAGTCGGCAAATTAACCCTGTCCATCAGGCTCTTCAATGGACCTGCCCAGCACTGCCTCCCGCATTCCGCCTCTTCCGAGATGGGACAGGCCGACTCCCGCATTAGCAGCTTCCCAGCCGTTTCTGCGTCGGAACTTGGCCGTGGTCTTATCGCACGGCTGTGATATGTCTTCATGAATGCGTGTTGACTGGCACTGGTCCTTTTCCAATATTAGCGTGTGGTATATAGTGATAATCTGATAACAGTCAAAGATAATTGAAGTTGGTTGGATGGGCAAACCATGGGAATACCAGATGCCCATAGCTTATATGGCAGAGGAAAAAGGAAAAATGGTCACTATGTCACCGAAACACTCCTGTCTCAGTTACATGCAGGCTCAGACCTTCTTGTAGCTGTATTACATGCAGCCTCAGGGACCTCTCTTGTCTCAGTATAATGCAGGACTAGGCCTCTCTTGTCTCAGTATACATTGCCAGACCTCAGACCTCTCTTGTCTAGTGATACATGCAGACCAGACCTCTCTTTCTCAGTATACTGCAGACAGACCCTCTCTTGTCTTAGTTATACATGAGGCTCAGACCTCTCTGTTTTCACTATACATGCAGACACACCTCTCTTGTCTTAGTTTTATGCAGACCAGACCTCTCTTGTTCTCAGTATACATGCAGACTCAGACCTTCTTGTTCAGTAACATGAAGACTGAGCCTCTCTTGTCTCAGTCTATTACATGCAGACTGCGACCTCTCTTGTCTCAGTTAATGCAGTCTGAGACCTCTCTTGTTCAGTATACATGCAGACTAGACCTTCTCTTGTCTCAGTATACATGCAGACTCAGACCTCTCTTGTCTAGTTACATGCAAATCAGACCTCTCTTGTCTCAGTATACATGCAGACTCAGGCTCTCTTGTTCGTATACATGCAAACTCAGGAACCTCTCTTGTCTACAGTATACATTGCAGACCCAGCTCCTCCCTTCTTTCAGTATCGTGTAGACTCAGACCTCTCTGTCTCAGTATTCACGCAGTTTCCGACGCCTGTCACAGTGATGGGATACGGGTTACTAGTAACGGGTTACTAGCGCCGTTACTTTTTCAGTTAACGAGTAATCTAATAATTACTTTGACTGTAAACTATAACGCGTTGATCAATTCGACATCACGTTACTGGCGTTACTAAGACGCACAATGAAACTTCTCTTTTTAATTCGTGATAGGGAGAGGCGGCAAGATGGCCGACTGAGCGGGACACTTTTCGTCTTCTCCGTAAAGTTCCTCAGAACCACGACAAGGACAAAACTTTCCCCAACAAAAACAAGTTGGTTGGAAATACGGTTTACGTTTATCCACAACGTAAAAGTAGTTGATTTGCCGGCCCCCCCCCACCCCCCCCCCCCCCCCCCCCCGAACATAGAACGGAAATGACCTCAAACATGACATCTACCACGGACGGGAGGTGGTGAAAGCAAAAGGCGGGCCTCTGTTTCCATGACTACGCCGCCAGGGACCACTTTGCAGGTGCGGACAAGCGCAGCTTGAGGACTCTCCGCTGAACACTCCGGAGAACAGAGCTCGATGGAAAGAGGGTAAAAACCCAATAAGAGGCTTCATTTGTGTTATAATGATGGCTCTCAACTCGTCTGCACACTCCCGTTTTGATAACAAGAAGTTGTTGGACGAGTGAAGTCCAAATTCAGAGAGAATCGTTACCCTGATCTGCAGCCTAGCTTAAAAAATCGACGTTTACTGCTGCCGAGATACAAACGAATGCCAGACACCTGTGGCAGTTTTGGAAGAAAAAAGTTGTGTCGCTGGAAACAGAAACCGTGTGCTTTGAGTCACGACAGAGTCACCTCATCACAAAGAGGCCACCGCCGTCGTTGGACTTTAAAATCAAGGGACTTGAAAGCAACGATGACACGAAAACCTACGTGATGATATTATCGACCTACTGAACATAAACGTGGCACCGCGCATGGCGGGGAGCATGGATGCACAACGTGGATGGGGTTCACCGCTTTCGGGACGACAAGAGAGACGTGGACGCCGCTCACACACACACACCACCCCCCCCCCCCCCCCCCCCCCCCCCCCCCCCCCCCCCCCCCCCCCCCCCCCCCCCCCAACCCCCCCCCCCCCCCCCCCCCCCCCCCCCCACGCCCACCCAACACAACACCTCAACTCCACACCCCCCCCCCCCCCCCCTCACCCCCCTCCCCCACCCCCCCCATCATCCATCCGGTTTGTGAACAAAGAAGGACAGGGATTGACATCTGGGATTTACGAAGGACTCAGCTGTCTGCAAGGAAGCCAGGGTTTTCTTCACTGACGATTTGTAGAAGCTGTTAACCAGGCCAAGGGAGGTGCTGTGGCCGAAGCTCGCCGAGGCAAGAAAACGAGGAAAAAAGGCTTCTTTCGTGGACCTTACGGGATTACATCAACGGCAAACGAATCTAGACTCACCAAAATTTAATATGCTCAACATTAAGGAAGTTAATTTGAAAAATGAGGAACTGTTTTGGATGTTCACAGTTTACGGGTACTAGATTACCTGTAAGTTACTATAAATGAAGCTGGTCTCTTACCTCGGTTGGGGGTAGTTTACTTTTTATTTATACCTTTTTATGTTTCATTTAAGGATCTGAACTATCTATATTCTTTAAATGACGAGGTCTGAAGACATGTAAAAGCCACTGGCTCCTTTTCTTTCCTGCCAAAGGTTTTCAATGCTCATGCTGTTTTCTTACAAGCGACACACTCCTGTGAAGAGGATGAGACCTTTTTGGAAGAACAGTGGGGAGGCTGATTTATTTTTCCACATGGGACCCAAATCGATCTGGGGGTGTGGCTATATGTTTTCAACGATTTCCTGGAGAGAGTAATAACTTCTAAAGCTGACCAAGATTGGGACATTGGGTTGTAATTATTGCTAACTTGGCAGGATCATATGTCTTGTTGCGAATTATAGGGTCTAACAATTCAAATCAGAACAAACGGCTGTTTGATTGATATATCAGACTAATCACAGATTTCAAACTTTCTTCTAATATTAGTTTTACATGTTTGGAGGGGATTTTAACATAGCACCGGATGGATATGGTTAGACAGTCCACGTCATTTTATTAATGACCACCAGTATAACCACAGATCTTCAAGGTTTTTACAGATACTCACTCTCTCACTGATATCTGGCGAAAAAACAATCCCAATGAATGCAGTATACATGGAATAAAACCTATGGTGGTGCCAAATCAAGAATGCAAACAGTTATTAACCCTGAAATCTGGAAATTGTCCCTCTCAGGTTAAATCGCTGCAGCACCTTTAACTGACCATTGTTTAGTTGGAATACTCTCAAACCAAATGTTAATATCAACCCCACTATAAGAGCTATTGTAAATTTAATTCAGATTCTTATTGGTGGAAGAGTTGGAGTTTTTAAATGAAGTTAAGAATTCATTAATGGACCATGGAAAAATGCTTACAGAACTAAACACTTATTGTACAAAATGGGAATATTTTAATTTAAAGTGCGAAGTATTTCTATTAAACAGGGTTAAAATCATAAGGCCAACGGCCTACGGGAAAAAGGAATTATACCCTATCGCACAAGAAATTAACAAGTTGTGTAAGACAACATGATCTTACAGAGGAAGGTAAGGCTACTTTTTAAATTTACATCCAATCTTGATGAAATTATTCCTTCAAAGTGCACAGGGTGCTTCTGTAAGGTCCGGGCCAAGTGGCTGAACACGGAGAAAAAAATTCCTCCTTACTTTATATTTAGAACTACGAAGACAGGAAAAGTAGACTAAGTTGGATGTATTATGAATATTGACTAAAGAATGTCACCCGCAAATATAATAGCTGAAGTAGACGTACAAAATTTATTCAAATTTATGCTCATCCCAATTACATTCTGAAGAAGTTCTGAAAATTTTATGAGAAATAAGCCACCAAAATTCCTCACGTTGACCCCCGAGGTTTTTTAAATTGTTATGTGATGCTGAAAACAATCTCACGAACTTGATGCTGCTCTTGGAGCGTATGGCTTTGGGAAAAGCCCTGGTCAAGATGGATTAACATCCAGATTTTTATAAATTTTTCTGGAAGATCTCAAACACACATGTAATTTTCCAGTTTTTCAATGAATGTATTGGCGATCATAATCTCACACACACGATGCAAGCCAGGGGTCATACTCTCTTTCCAAAGCCCGGAAAAGATAAAGGTATATTGAAAATCTAAGACCCATATCCTTATTACATGTAGTTAAAAACTATTCACTCAATTTCGCCAATTGATTGAAGGCTGGGATAGGCGATGTTGTTAGTGAACTCAGTCGGGCTATATTAAAGATAGATCAATACACAATAACATCTAGATTCGTTTGGATTTATTGGATTACAACTATTTCATTGAAGATACAAGGTTACATTGATTCCTTCGATTTCTATTACAGCTTTGATCTGGTTGAGCATCACATTTATTTTGCAGACTCTTGAATTTTTTCGGCTTTGGTGATAGTCCTTGCATGCTTAACATGTTGTTTACAGATATAACAGATCAGTGTCTGTTACCTGCGGGATTCCACACCAAAAGATTCAAGATAAATAGATGGGGGTTAAGCAAGGATGCCCGTGCTCACCTCTGATTTTTATTTAGTTTGTAGAATATTATCGATTTTATATCCACAACCAGTACAGATTTGAAAACCATTAAATGTTCTGGCAGGCCTCTAATATCAACAATTAGCGATGACACGACCATTTTTATAAGAATTGGGCAGATCAAATTTCTCTAGAAATCACGAAAGTGGAGCTGTTTTCCCGAGCTTCTGGGTTACAAATTAAAATCTTAAAAACTGTGAGCTGACTGGCCCTTATGAGCACCCAATTCAGATTTACATGGAATCCCTGTGAAAACTGGAAGTAAATTACTTGGGATATTATTTTGTCGAACGATTGGACGGGGAATTTACACAGTAGGCGTAAACAGCGCGTACACGTTTACTGCGCGCTCTCTGCGCGTAACTTTTTTTTGGAGTATCTACACAGGCCGTGTACGCAGGTCCACGTCTTCTGATGCTCTCCCTGTGTGTGTCTAT